AGCATGGCGGTAATCGTGGTGTTAAAACCGGTGTTCTAAAAGGCATGCCAATGTGTGCTAGTTATATGACATGTTATGACGAGAGTGTTTCCATTTAAGACACATTTTTTTGCTATTTGTTATACCTTTTGTGATTGGGTATACAACTATTAAGTTTTTTTGTTGACTTTTTGTTATTAGTTATTGATATAACATCTCAAAAAACTAGTTATATTTGATATAATTTATATTTTAATATAATTATAAATTAATACAAAATAGACTTCTTACATTTTATCTTGAAAATTGTGATGACTCCCTATGACTTATAGAGTTTGAGACTTGGTCTTGCCGCCATGTCATGTCTCTCACCTTTTAGAACATTTTCTAAAATCACTTGATCGAACGGCTAGTTACTTTTTTTACTAGAAATTTGATGGTATAATCACTTAATCAAACCACAAGTTTAATCTATTTTTCAACATCGTTATCGCTGGCATAATCATAATAGTTGTTACTTATTAGTGAGAGTTGTGCATAACGAGCATCATTTAATTTTGGTCTTTGTTCCGAGATTAGTTGGAAGATTGAATTTGTGATATGTATATGTACTTTTAACAAATTTTTAACAAGTTATTTATACATTCGTATATAAATAACTTCAACAATTGGCTTGTACATTTGTTGCATAAGAAATGGACATCTATACTCAATGGTTCCTTTATTTTCTTCATGTTCCAAATCTTCAACAATAGTTATATCCAATATGATTTCGGTGATACTTAAGTCCCACATTCATTTAGATGTTATTAAACGAAAACATGATTTAATTTTCACTAGAATTCCTATGATCCAGTAGGAATATTTTTTTTATTCTTGTTGATTTGTAGCGATGATGAGAACATAAATGCAACCTTGAAGAAGAATGTACAAGTTATTCTAATGCTAATGTAAAATTCCTTGGTTGATATCCTAGATATGATTAATGTGATCCTAACAAACATGTTCAAGAAAATAAAATAGTAAATGAATGATACAACATTGATTTGGACTTAGAGTCAATGTGTGTTGGATTTAACATCATGTAGTTAAGTGACATTTAAAAATTGATTAGTAAAACAAAATATATTTGGACACTTAAATAACTTTTGGAATATTTAAATAAAAATATATGATATTTATAATATATTTGTGACACCGGTTTTTCAGAATTGATCAGTTTAGAGCATTAAGGAGTCTACAACATGGGTTTTGGAGAAAACCGGGTGTCACGATATGACCATAGGGTGGTCTGGACATGACGAGTTAAATGTGAAGCGCGTATCCGGGAAGCATGTCACGATGTGACATGAGTATGGTCACATCGTGAGGATGACTGCAACCCAAGCCCATGATCTTTTAGGGTTTCTTTCGTATTTAAACCTCATTAACTGAATTTTAGGTTCATTATCAGCCTCCATCACTCTCAAATCTCCAACACGCTAACCCTAATCCCTCTTGGTGCTTCTTGGCTCATTTTGGTGGTTTTGATGCTCTTTGAAGGAAGCAAAAAGGGATTTGGTGCAAGGATCAAGCAAGCAACAACTTCTCATCTTGATATCACATTCTGGACCATTTGTAAGGATTCAAACTTCTACCTTTATGGTTTATTCTCTTAGATTGAAGTTGTTTTAGTCCTTTTTGGTTCACGGTTTGGATTTTAGCAGATGGATGGAATAAAGTTGGCAACTTTATGGTCCTCCTGAGTCCCTAGAGCACCATATCTTATGGATTTAAGAATTTGATGTAGTTTGTAAACCTTGCATGAGAATTAGGTCACTTTCTTGCCTTTTGACCTAGATTGGGTGGAGGACATGCATGGGGTATTTATGGTGGGATGTCGAGTCCACAAAGCAAATTACACCATTTGTTTGCAAATAAAACATAATATAATGGTAAAAAGGGGTATCGATCCTCGGGGAAATGGTTGTATTCAATCACCAATGCAATCTAATAGAACTAGTGTAAATAAACTAACTAACTACAATTAAACTAAAAGGGGGGTGTTGTGATTGCTTGAAAACTAAAATACTTGAATAACTAAAAAGCATGCAATTAAGCAAGATGGTGAGATGCTCAAATGTTGAGAATAATTGGTTAACCAAGGCAATTCAACACAATGAACATTTGTGTGTTTATCATTAGGATTCAATACAAAGCTTATCATTCATCCCAAATTGGTTATAGCAATCATGAAGCATGATATGCCAAGATTCCTCATAGGTAGTATGGAGGTTGGGGAAGCCCACAACACACCTTCTTAATCAAGATCAAGGGTCAATTGAAGCAATTGAACCCAATAAGTCAATTAGCCTTAAGAATTAAGGAATTCCCAATTCCTAGAGGATGTCAATGCTTACACACCCATAAAGGAGCTATGATTCATAAGCTAGAGATGATTTCTACCATCATAAAGCTCTTGTTCTAAGTAAATTCAATGATTCAATGCAAAACCAAAGAAATAAACCAATAATTGCTCATTCAAGTACCAAGCTCATGATCAAAGTATCAAACAAGCATAAGAAATATGAACTAGAATCATAAACATGAGATAATTGATAATCAAACATGAATCCTTCAAAAACCCACAAACATTCAAGGGTTTTAGCTAAAGTTAACCAAAATAGAGAGTTTAGCCACTCATGGCACTAGAATAACAATCACAAAAGTCTAATTGCATAAAGAAACTACCTAAGACTTGGAAAGATGAAAGGAAATGAGTTTCTAGCTCCAAAATCGCCTCTTACAGGTCATCAATGGTGGAAAATCGAGATTATGGCTGCTAGATCTGATCCCCCAAGGTTATGGTGTGCCAAATGACCAAAATACCCAAACTGGGCAGTTGCGCGGGTACCCGCACGACGAAAATTCCACCCGCGCAAATGTTGTTGTAATGCTGTTGGTCCTTCATTCCTCCACTCCACCCTTCCACTACCAAAGATTCCTTTGGTCCCCTCCATATCCATGTGATTTAAACCAACCAATCATCATTTAGCTACAAAAATGGATGCTCCAAGCCCAAACATAGAAGTTTATGACCCATCTTCACAAGCCCAAAATATCCAAGTCTTCACCTCTTTAAGGCCCAAGTCTTCTTTTATGGATCCGCCAAGCCCAATAGTGCCTCGAGAGCCCACAAGTCCGTCTTCACTCTAATCCACAATCGCGATAAGCTCCAAAACCCTGCAAAATTCCTCATGCAAAATAAAAAGTCACCGATACGATCCATGATGAAGAAAAATATAGAATATACAATGCAATACTAATAAAAAGAGCTAAAAATCTAAAATAAACTAATAAAAATAAGGAAATAAAATATGCTATCAAATCACCCCAAGCTTAAACCTAACTTGTCCTCAAGTTAGAACAAGACTAAAATGAACTCGGGATGAGCTAAACTAAAAAGGAAAAAAAAAGCACCATAGAACTTAGTCAACATCAGTCAACATGGTCAGAATTAGTCCTTCATGGACCCTACGCATCTTCAAAATGTTCCCCGCTTTAGAGCCATAAACCACATTCTCAACCACTTGATGGGCGAATAGATCACGGCTAGATGTAGTCGCGGTGTGCAAGACAAAGGAAACAGAGATGCGCCCAGTGGGGGCACTTTAAATCACCAATGCAGATCATAATGCACGAAGGAAAGACGCCTCTTCACACACTATGATTCCTACATTTGTCAGGCTAAAGTGTATAATACGAAATAGGGTTTTGCAGCGCGGCCTCCGGGCAAACATCCGGTTTCAGAGGCTTCTCCCTTGTACTGTCCTTTACAGTTTACTGTCTCATCGTCAAGGTCTTTTCTCACCAAAACTCAAAAATAAAATAAAATAAATCTACTTAACCTAAATCTAAACCTAACAGCTTAAATCTTCAATCTTGAACTTTTGTTATTTGGTCTCCTGCCTCCTTGTTGTTTGATCTTTTGTCTTCTTATTTCTCTTTTTTTTTTGGAACTAAAGTCTTGAACTTGGATTCTTGTTCTTCTTTTTGTGTTGCTCTTTTTCTTCATTTTTCTTCATTGTTTCTTTTTGTCTTCACTTTTCCAATTTCTTCATTTTGTGTTTTCTTCTTATCTTTCTTCTTGGAAGGTCTAAGGGATTTCACCATGTAACATAGGACTCCAATAGTGAAAATGGAGGAATAGGTAGAGGCTAAAATGAACACCTAATGATCAATGACAGTGTGTCATGATCTACTAAAAGGGTGGGGAATGACTCAAAAATGGGTGTTACCGAAAAAAACTTGGTCCCAAAAGATGTGAATTGGGGGACCCACTTCAAAGTTCATCAAGCACCTCAATGCAAGGTGTGATAAACAAAATCTATCTAACTATCTACTCTAGACTCCTAGAAAAAAAGATAACCTATCTTAAAAAGGTGGTGAGAATCTAACTAAGTAAGGCTCGGACGAGACTCGGGAGTACTAAGGGGTACCCCCCCCAAACCAAGATGCGAGTCTTCAATATCTTCAATGTCTTCATAATACCTTACCGGGCTAATCTTTGCTCGCACACATTGGCATGACCAACCACATCCCTACGCACCTAGACCCAATCAAGCTACCTGCATCTGACCCCCACACAAGCGGTCTCAAAGTGGTCTGTAAGGCTGAAAATGTGTCCCATTTATCAAATACAAGGAATTCCATATCAAGACCCGGGACCAATCTGTGATTCAATACTTATGACTCGGTGCTCTGGTACCTGTAGGGATGAGAAGACAAGAGAGAAAAAAATGCATGAACTTAAACTAGGATGCATCTAAAAAGCATGAAAATTAGAAAAGAAAGAAACAAAATATGCAATATTTTTGAATTTTTATGCAATTTTTATGAATGACCTAAATGAGTTACTCTAAATGCAACTATATACAACCTAAATGAAATAAAAATAAAATATAAGAATACCTCACCCCAAGCTTAAAATTAAGCATTGTCCTCAATGCTTAGGATGAGAGTAAGTAAGGATCATACCAGGATCAAGGTGGAGGAGGCCCACGAGGGGGGTAACCATATTCGGGCCGAAACTGATACCAAAGATCTGCCATGTAGTTGTTGGTGCGAGCTTGCTGCTCCTCGATGCAATGAATAGCTGTCGTATTCTGGTTGCCCTGGAGGCGCAATGAAGCAAGCTGACTATAGATGTCAAGAGGGAATTCGTGCTCGAGATCGGGCTCATTGTGTTGATGATAAGAGTGGTACTCATGTTGTGGCTGAAAGTGTGACCCCGAGGGCTGATCATAATAAGGCGGTGGCAATTGTCGGATTGGGAGGTCATAATGGTCTTCGGCCTCAAATGGACTACCAGCATTGGAATCGTCGACATGCATTTGATCATCATCTCCTGCATCATCATCGTGTAACTCTTCAGGCAAGAACCAAGTTTCGGGGTCGCTAGTGGAAAAGGCGGAGATGCTAGGATTAGGCAAGATGTAAACTGGTTCCTTGACATGATTGAGCCAAGAAAAATGGTTATGACGGGTAGGATGAGGTATCAGTACTTCCATCCGGGTGAGAGCTATGCGGTCAAGGAGGTAGAGAGGTGGGTCATCCACTGGCACATACTCAGACTCGGGAAATTGAAGGCCCACACCCAGACCAATTAGGGTAATGAAACCTCCGATGCAAATATCGCCAGTGGTCTTTGTGCGGATGCTGTCACATTTATCTAAGAAAAAGGTGGCGAAACTGGGACAAGACCAACGCCGATTGCTCATGCAATAGAGGAAATAGAGCTCGACTGTATTGATTTGTCCCGGCTCGTGACGAGCAAAGATGGAAGTTGAAAGGATTCGGTGGGCGATTCTCCAACAAGGATGGATGATGTAAGGATCTTTTTGTCGACTTGGATTGAAGTTTGGGAGACTTGTTATTTGAGTCCAAAACTCTACATTAGGCCTGCTCTTGAATTGAGTCCATTTATAGCTATAGATGTCGGTGTTGTGGTTATAGTATGTGCCCATGATGGTGTTGAGGGTGTCGTATGTGAGTCGGTGTTTCCGACCCTGGAGTCTAAATGTGAGCACATCCTCCTTGTCATCTCGGGCATAAGTAGAGAGGAACTCAAGTGTGGGTTGCTTGTATGTGCGCACGGAAAGAGCTAGGAACTCGTGCCAACCGATGTTGAAGAACAGTTGTTGCAAGCAATCATCAAGACCAAAGTGCATCATTGACTCTCGGTGGTAAAATTTGGTGGCTCGAATTGCACGTTTCTGGAGATTTGGCTTGAATTGTTTGATTTGTGCACTAGTGAGGGTAAGGTTTCCATCACGATCAACATGAACCATGAGAGGCGTGAATGGTTTTGTCCCTTGCCATTGCACCTTTTAAGATAACCTAGCAAAGACAAAAACTTGTCCAAAATTATCCCTCACACTCGCCTCACCCTAATCCAATCAAACCAAATAACAAAAAATCTATACCGGGCAATATTACAAACTTGCAATTTGGCACAATTCAATTCAATGTAATCCAATCAATTCAAGGCAAACCAAGTCTAATTACTCTAATGCATAACATAATTCAATTCAAATTAGAAATGGAATGCAATAAATTAAAAAGGAATGTACCAAATTCGAGTGTCGAAACCCGAAAATAAAGCCGCTAAAACCGCACCCCAAGCTTGAATTGGACCCGCAAGATTGAATATTTTTGAATCTCCGGTGAGAAACAAAAATTTTGAAAATTTTTATCAAAATTAGTAACGGCGGCCGGCGGCGACGACAGACGGCGGCTGGCGGTGGAGCTACGTTTTCCGGCGAGGTGATTTGGTCAAATGCGTAGTAGATCGGAGTGCACGGGAGTGTTTGGTGAAGAATGCCTCAAGAATTATTGGAATTGGAGTGAAGGTGGCGGCGGAATCGGGATTTGTTCGGTTTTCTGGCGAGGTAGAGGGTGGTGATTATTGCATTGTCCGGCAGATAAATGGGTGGGGAATGTTCGGAATTAAGTGGGGATTAGGGTGGGAGGGTAGCGCCGGCGGTAGCAGCGAGTGGGGAGGCTGTATTGGCCGGCGTCGCTTATCCGGCGACGAAGGGGTGCAAAATCGGGGCTGCTGGCGGCGATAGACGGCGGCTACGAGCGGACCGCACCGACTGGTGGTGATGACGGAGTGGTTGGACGTCGACGACTAGTCAGGATCGGCGGCTTTCGTCGGCCGGAAGAGTAAAGGTGGCGTTGGTGGTTCACTGCAGACGGGAGGAATAAGGGGGTGGGGTTTGTTGACGGGAGGCACAAGGGGGAAGGGAGGGTCCGACGGGTTAATGAGGTATAAGGTTGGGTATTAAATGGGTCGGGAACCGGGTCGATACTGGAGCGGTTCCGGATATGGATCGGTCTTGGAGCGGGTTACCGGGTGGGGCAGGTAGGTTGTGGGTAATATGGGTTGGTCGCGCAAGGGAGGTACAGTTTTGTCTTGGCCGCGCAATGAGCTGCGAGGGTGGATGCTGGCCGCGCAACGGGCTTGCGAGGGTAAGATCAGGTCGCGCAAAAGCTGTGCGGGTGGGGGTTCAGCTGCGCGCATACATCAGTGTGTATCCCATGTGGAGGTAATTTGGACTCGGATCTACGCGGCTGGGGGCTAGCCGTGCAACTGTTGCGCGGGTACCCGCGTAAATTGTAGATTTTTGGAACTATTCAAACTTCACCAAGATCATTGCTAGACTTCAATATGCTTATTTTTAGACCAACTTCAAGCTTAGAAACATCCAAAACTTCAAGCGGAGATTATTTATTTACAATGCATTTTATTTAACGTCTTTGCCAAGACATAGCCCCACGTCCGTCAATCCTCGTAATTTGGAGTTTCCAATGTTATGTTGTCAAATTCTCCCGTGTCAAAACCTTCATAAAATGGTTTCAAGCGATGCCCATTCACTTTGAAGAGCTCTCCCGGATGGCCAAAAAGTGGGCAATCTTAGTCAATCGATCCATGATGACCCATATAGAATCAAAACCCTTGGCAGTCTTCAGCAACTATCTGATGAAATCCATGGTGATCTATTCCCACTTCTACATGGGAACCTCCACAAGCTGCAGCTTTCCATGGGGCCTCTGATGCTCGGCCTTGACCATCCTACAGGTCAAGCACCTCTCAACGTACCATGCTATCTCACTCTTCATACATGGTCACCCGTAACTCAATCTCAAATCATGATACATCTTGGTGGCTCCCGGGTGTATTGAAAAGCGAGACTTATGAGCCTCCTCCAACATTATCTGCCTGATCCCACCAGAAACTGAACCCAAACCCAACCGCACCGGGTTAACAACCCCCGACTATCGGTGACAAATCTGTCGATCTTGCCCCTGATCCTCTCATGTTTCTGTTGGATTAATCTCTAAGTCCATAACTATAATTGGTAAGACTTGACCCGACCCGGCATTGTCCATTTGGGTTGCATGGCATCATGCATTTGGATAGACTATAATGAGAGAAATAACACTTAAGGTTGGTTAATATATTATAAGTTCTAATATATTAATAAGGTTATTTAATTAGTATTGATCAAGAACTAATTTGGAATTAATTAAGTGATCAAAAGGAGACTAATTAAATATATGGGTTGATTGTGTAAATCATTCATTCTTATATATGTGGGCTTGTGATCCAAGATTCCTTATGTTGGACTAAGTCCATGGGGTGACCCATGGATACTCCATGGAGGTTAAAATCCATGGAGCATAAGGAATGGGTAAAGTTATGAGTTACATGGTGTAACCCTAATAGCCACCATATAAAAGAATCCCATGGCTCAAGAAATCATGCACTAATGTGTGAGTGTGAGGGCTAGACGATTTCAAGGAGTGTTCAAGTTTCTCTCAAGTTATTCTAAGTGTATTTGGTGTTGTGTGAACCATTTGAGGTGTCACACTTGGGGCACTAGGCACTCAAGCTTCATGAAGACATTCTACATCAAAGAGGTATGTATTCTATCTTGTTATATTTATTATTTTGTATGCTAGATTAGGATAATACCTTGGATGTTCATAATTGTATGTATAATAGAGAAAACATAGATCCAAGGTATTTAGGGTTGCATGTACACTTAGGAGTGTTAGAATGCTCATAACCCAACAGTGGTATCAGAGCCTAGGCTTGTTTTTTTGTTATACTTGCAAAAGTAGCTGAAAAATCGAGTTGGATGCATATATTCGATTGTTTTGGCTGGAATTGGATTAGCATGAACATTACCCTAAGATGTTTTTGGACTTATAAACTTGTTTTTGATGTGGTAATGTTCATGCTAATCCAATTTCTAAGATAATTGTCATAATTTCAAGATTTGTATTAGTTTGTATGTTCATGCTAATTTCTTGAAGATTGATGATTTGAATTATCTTGTTCTTATGAGGTTCTTAGATTAATAGAAAAGTTATGTGAAATAGTTGTTTTCAATCCATTTTAATCTAAGAGTTGATTCCAAAGTGTGTTTTTGTAACTTGTCCTCAAGTTATATGAAAAGTCACATTTAAGAATCATAAAACTCATAAAAGTTGGCAAAGGTTACAAAATGAAGAGTCTAGTTCTAATTAAATGGTTTTATGACTCCATAACTTGTCCTCAAGTTATGGAGGTTCAAGAGTCTCTTCATTAAATTAAAAAAAAGTGTAACCTTAATTAGTTCCATAAGTTACAATAAAAAAAGTTATTTTTTTTATTAATTAGTTTAAAGTCTTTCATAACTTGTCCTCAAGTTATGGAACTTGAAGGGTTTTTTTTTTTTATTTTTTTTAATTAAAACTACTTTAAACTCATAAGTTATGGAATTAATTAGTTTTGAATAGTTTCAAAACTTGCCCTCAAGTTTTGGAATTTGAAAAGTTTTCACTTATGAATACTTTAATTCCAAGTTAGCCCTTAGAATTTTAAAAGTTAAAATTCAACCCTTATACTTTATAATATTATAAGTTAATAATATTTATATATATGTATAAGAGTAAAGTCAGTCTTACCGTTAGTAGGCCTCATTCACGAAGCCGGTCTATAAGGGGGGTATAAGGTTACTGCCTATAAAATGACAGTTTAATGGGTGTCCACTCTCACCCACCGCTTCCTTGACTGGTGGAGGGTCGTTAGCCGAACGGGTAGGACAAGGACTATAATTCTCCTTTCATTAAAAGTATTAATGATAAATAGTAAGTAACTAAACTCTTATTAATACCCAATCTTAGTTACTTAGGAAAATGTGAATTTGGTGCTAACCCATGAAATTACACTTTGCACTTTGCTTAAGTCGTTAGTGGAGCGTGTGTGGTTAACCGGCACACTAACCTGGACTTAACAAGGTAGGCAAAGGGTAACTTAATATTTATCACAGTATCGGTGGAGCGTGTGTGGTTAACCGGCACACTGATTAAGGGGTAAATATTAAGGGTACCAAGTATATTTGCATGGTTATTCACACCTTGTTTTGTGATCCTCGGCATCCCAGTCACAAAACCTGAAGGGCACACTCGAGATTGAAACATGCCTTTGAACAGTTCAATGAATCTCAAAGATCTAGGA